CGACTTCGGAATAATTACAGTTATGATTTCCCCATCCATTGTGTTTGCATTCAGCAAGTGATGATTCATTGCCACTACACTGAACGTTGTCCAGAAGAATAGGGAAAGATTCGTCAACTTCTTGAGGTTTTGGAACGTAAGCCAAACTGTTTCTGGTAAAAAAGTTTATCAGATAAATGCCATTTTTAATATTGTTTCAAAACTAGAATTTCACTCAATATTTGCCCTTCGTAATAACAAAATGAACCTCAATTCCCCTAGTTTTAAGATATAATTTTGATTCATTTTACAAACCATTACATTGACATTTGTTAAAACTAGTTGTTATACATTTATATTAATTACTATTTTATAGTCACAACCAATCGCATATTCACTAACCTTATAATTCAGAAAGAAACAAAATACGTCCAAAATCATCTACTTCTTTTTGTGGAGTGAACATCTCTTTCATATATAAATGGGGAGTCATAATATATTAATTTTCAAAAACGAAAAGAAAAACTTCATTTTTTATAAACTAAAATCTACGTTTCCATAATTATTATCCGAACATTGGTATTATTGGATGAGACATGAAAATCTGAGCATCTTCAAACAAAGCTTTGGTAGAAAGAAAGCGTGATGTTTAGATATCTAAGAAAATAAAATGTGCTGTTTTGAACATGATATGTGTAAACTTACGTATATCCGAGCATTTTACAAACAACAGTTGCATCATTATCATCCCAGTCGTCATCGCAGATATATCCATCAGTGTAGTTATTTATGGTAACAATTACAACTCCTTCTGTTTCACCAGTCAACGTTATGTCTTCAATTCAAATATAGTTTTCATTATTGTGCCAATTTATATAAGACCTTCTGTTTTACCAGTCATATCAATATCTTAAAGTACTAATTTGGTTTGATTTTAAATGTTTTTCTTATGCATGTTTAATCTTATATGTATCATCAAACAGTACTAACGTGCACGTTTATTAAGAATAACAAGTTGTGCATAAATTATTGCATAAAAGGAAATGCTTTACGAGCATAATTGTTATATGAAGTATAACGTATTGATGATTCTAACCTTCACGCCATTTTAGGGATCATTCCGAATAAACCATATGATTAATATAAAAATATCTCAGACTTCGAACATCTTCATGAAAACTATTAAAAACGTCCTTCGTCATAGTGAAATCGCTTATGAAAAAGCAAAAGAGAGACTTGGAAGAAAATTCGGAGGAAAACAAAATTGTGAATAAATTTTTAAACGAGATAGAACAATTTCGACCAATAGGATATGAGAACGTCAAGAAAAAAGAACAATTTGCAGCCGAACTGGATGTAGCCATCGTCAATATTAAAGAAAAAATGATAAAGACTTTCAAAGTGGGTATTCTCATTTGTTAAAATGGTTCCCTGAATCAATTATTGTTAGATATCAAAAATAGATATTAAGAAACGAAAACAAACAATAAACAGAATCTGTAGAGAAATTAAAGGAACGTATACTGAAGGAGGCAGAATTCTGAAAATAGCAATAGAAACAATTTGGCCTTGATGGAAAGTTGGAAAAAAACCTAGGGATCAACAGTCGTTCTTCTGTAACAGTAGAAAGAGAGAGTGTTATCTCTGTAAGATTGTAAGGCAATGAGAACTTTCAGTAAAAGATAGATGGGAGAAAGCAAAATCTTTAAACTTATGTTTTCCCTGTCTAGAGGACATTTATTCTTGAAGAACATGTAACGAGCAAGAAAGTGCGGAACAAATGGTTGCTTGAATTTTTCACAGACTGGCCATATTTAAATCCTGAAGCTATATTGTTTAGGACTCACGAAAATCAAAATTACATTTTGCACAGTCAAAATAAAACTGAAGGTTAGAATTTTACCAGCCAAGTATATACGAATTTATGTACACACAATGTTTATGTAGCACTTCTTAATGTTCCAGTCATTTTGTATGTCAGTGGTTGAGAAAATCCAATTTGCGCATTATATGACGATAGTAAAGCTAAGTCATATTTAGATGAAGATGTTGCGAAAGTATTTGAAATAGGTTCAGAGTATGAGACTGTAAAAAAGAACTCTTTGAATGGACAACTTGTAAATCTTGACACATTGTGTATGAATATTAAGCTTGGTAGTTTAGAAAAAAATACTGAAATTAACATGTTAGCCCATACAACACAAAAAGTAACATGGAATAAGAGACCAGTGGACTGGGCAGTGTATTGTGATCAGTGGTAGCATTACAAGGAAATCCATCAATAGGACACAGCCATAGAATTGATCGTTAAATCGGAATAGATTTTTTAGAGTTAAACAGATCATTGAATGAAGTATATGGACAGGAAGGGTCACCCTCAGCCAGCTTGACTCCTTAAGGTTGGACATGTTTCGGGTCGGTACCAATCAAGGAAGACGAAATAGATTATTTACATTTCAGATAGACTCTGAGAATAAAAATGATGTTATAAATGAGACTCTAAAGAGATTTTAAGAATTGCAATAAATTGAGAGTAAGCTGAGAAACAGCATGGCTCTTTCTGACGGGAACATAATAAAAATGATCAAAAGTGAAATAGTGTATGATGCAGAAAGCAATAGATACCAGGTTTCAGTGCCATAGTTTGGAAATAATAGTGAATTGAAAAAAAAACACTATGAAATGGCGTTTGATAATTAAAAAAACACAGATTTAAAACTAAATGCAAAAAAGTGATCTAAAAGCATACTGTGGTGACATCATTGATAGTCCTGAAAAGAATTATATATATTTCTTCACTTACGGAAAGAGATATTAAAAGATGATCTCTTTGAAGTATTGCTCAGAAACGCTTTTGTCATAATGTGCAAGTAGGAATGTCACACCTCCAGATAGTCTGTGAGAAAGTCCTTCTTAATACACTCCTTTTAGTTATTTTCATGTCTGATCTGGAGACTATATAGATGTAGGTGTATTCATCCAAATTTGACTGCCAACTTAAGCCTAACGTTTTAACTGTTAGAAATTCACTTTCTGGCATGTTTATCTGCAAGTCACTATTTCTACAGGAATTTGATTGAATACTTCTATGGAATTCAATAGCTATTCCCAACATCCACCTGCCTTTCCCCAACAACCATTCAATCTTTTGTATAATTTAATCGTTTAGTACAAATATCGCATTGGGTAACAAAGTTTATGGTTTATGATTGTCATGAAAATACATTTCACGGTTGGACAAATTTGACATTAGCTAAATTATCGGGTATATATTGGGTTATATATGAGCCCGTAAAGAAATAAGAAATTGTGAAAATTAGTGTGCTAAATGCAAATGTAGCAAGGCACAAAGCTCAGAACAGATTATGGGCGCATTGTCAGGTAAACGCTTGGGACAATCGATGCGAGCACGTACAAAAACCGGCCAATTCATTACAAAACAAGGCCATGGAAAATAAGATTTAAGCTTTATCGTTGTGTTTTACATGTTTAACAGAGCTGTGTTTCTTGAAATAGAATATAGCTTGGACACTAATTCTACTCTCAACGCATTTAACATATTTATCAGCCGTAGAGGTGTACTAAATGAAATTTTATTTGACAATGGGACAAATTGTGTCGTTTGTGTTAACAAATACAAAGATCTGTACAAGAAACTTGATCAAAATGCTATCGTTAAAAGTGTTGTAAATACAAAAAAAAATGAGGGGAATTTTATTTCGCCAATTGTACAACATTTTGGCTATGATGAACTCGGCAAAGAAACCCAAAGGATCACACTGTATTTACACCCAATCACTTCTTGACTGGCCGGCTTGGTGAACAGTCAGCTCCCGATATTATTGACAACGATCATTATTAAGTTAAAAAGCGTTTGCAGTATGTCCAGACACTCCTTCGTTATTTCTGGAAGCGTTGGCTAAGAGAATATTTGCCAAATCTGGGATCTTGATCTAAGTGGTTTCAAACTTCACGCAACTTCAAAGCCAAATTATAATGTTTTAATCTTTGACCCAGACACATCCCAGGGACATAGGCTTCTAGGTCGTGAAAGAAAATTGTTCCATGGTCCAGATGTACATCAAGTTAGGAGGAGTGTATTTCGACGAAGAATTTAGTCGCAAAATCAAACAATGTTGTCAGTATCTCATTTGTGCAAAAAAGTACGTCAGAAAAAAAATGTGTAAAGTGACAATAAATGTAAAGAAGGGAAATTTTAAAGGGCATGATAATCCACAGTGCCTTGTTCTAAGATTAATTTGGTTTTGAACAAGAAACCCAACGTTTAAGAGGCAAAGTGCTAAGGGACACAATAATCTCTAGTGCCTTCGCATGATAATATCTAGTGTTTCATAAATCATATATATCAGAATGAAAGTACTCAAAAGATGGTGCTTGACTTGTTGAAATCTATAATCCATTGGCATATGTTAATAAAAAAGCCTTTTTTTAGGTTTAATCTTAGAAATTATTGATTTTGTTGACAAATGTTTTTTATTGCATTTTTTAAAATTAAAGTTAAATGAAACTGGTGGAAACTGATGGCTGCTCGAATAAAATTATGTATTAAAACAATTTGACATTTTTTTTGTTTCAGAACCGATTTTTACTGCTTGCATAATTGGTACCGTGTTCCAGTCAGAGAATGTTATGTTTTAATAAACATGATTTCGTGCCATTTGCCTTTGTGTTAAAGAATGCAATCAAGCTGATTAGGTGTTGAATAGAAATATATTCCGCTTGAGCTTTCCTTCTGAGAAAGGCTTGTCCAAACAAGCATCCCAATTTTCGTACTGTTGACAAACATGTAATTCATACTTAGAATAAGCAAAAAACTACAAAATTCATTTTACAATTGTTTTGACTCAATAATGTCTTCAAAAAAGAGGCATCCGTTGCTACGTGGTCTTTCTCCACAAGTAAAGCCGGAAAGTCGCCATATAACATACTGGATATAATATGTTGGTGCGACGTAAAATTGCTCTTACACCTTGCTCTTATTGGAATTTTATATTTTATATAGCTGAAATCTACCACTGAACATACATCAAAGTTTAAGATTGTTTAAAAACATATTGTTTTTTTAATCTTTTATCGACGTTTCGAGCAAGATTTGGCTTGAATTATGTCAACATGTACTATAAAGGAATACTGCTGGCATTTCAGGAGGTAACGATTTACAATTGTATTAAAAAATCTTACCGAGTGTAACTGGACATTCTGTGATTGAACTATGTTTCCATTTACCATCTTCACATCTAAACTGAGAATCTGATGTACAATTCCAGTTGGTTGAAACAATATTTAAAACTGTCTTGTCAGGAAACGATGTACGGTTCATACTGACTGAGTTATTTTTATCTTTTCCCACAATATCAAACAAGTATTGATTAACAATTGGTCTGGGACACTCCCCTGAAATTCATTTAAATTTATGTTCTTATGTAGTTATTGTTGTGATGAAACAATCGTAACTTTTACTTTCGTATTAAACGGAAAAAGTGATGTTTTATTTATTCATGAAGTGTTGAGAATTGATCACACTTTTTACATTTATTTTTTGACGGTAACGTTTTAATACTACAGATTTTCGACAAAAGCTTGTAAAGGTTTGTACTACAAATATATACCATAACGGGGCTACCAATAATTCTTTATCACTGTTATGGTTTCTTTCTCAAATAAGTAGTGATTTATAAAATACCTTTTTGAAAGCAAAGTCTAACTGATGTGTCATCGGTTTTTCCTTTACAGTAACATTGGCAATTTTTTCCAAGAAATCCAGCTTCAGGACATTCAATTCTAGTGCACCGATCTACGAATGAATATAATATACTTCACAATTGCACAACAACTAATAGTTTGTCAATTTTATACATATATAACAAACTTATCTGTACCGTCTCAATCTCAAAATGGAAATCATTTTATGGACAGCATTCAGCAGTGTTTGAAATAATAAAAATATGAATCACATATGATTTTAGATTTATCAATAGACATCCGTGATCATATGTGTCAGTAGGTATGGTCCTTAGCTTTTTTTAAAGGTTAAACGGACAAGTCAGTCAAACCCTTTCTCAATCATGTACAAACATGATACAATTCAGTAAAGAATGCATTTACACTTCCGGTGCCTATTATGGAACAAACAATGTCATCTTTAAGAGACAATGTCCCAGCTTTAAAAGTTTTAATCCACGCAAGATTATGCGCTTAAAATGAACTCACGATGTGCTGCATTATTCATTATACAATATCAAACATAATGCAACTTTTAATGTACCCTCGAATATCAGGTTTGTTGTCCATTGTACAATATGGTCATTGAATTGGCAAGTATTTAAGAGTGTATATCGCAAATGACATGAAACAAATCGTTATACAAGTAGTAAGCAATTCGACGTATTGAATGCCTGATTAATGTTAAAAGAAAAACCCATCAATATCAGTTATGGTACATATTTGAAAACAGAAAATGTTCGGCACTGAAATAAAGTGCTTAAATGTATATTTTTATATGTGTAAAATGTTTAGTTAGTTAATGGAAACATTTTTCCATCCTTTGTTCGCAGAATGCAAGATTGATTTATATTTCAGAAAAGCCAGTGTTAATGACATCATATTAAGTTAAAACTGCACATACTTACCTGCACATTTATACATAACATTCAAAGTTCTATAATCTTGAAAACTTGGATGTTTGGCCTTTCCTATTTTAGATTGAAACTTATCATTCGATGTTTCTATTGTAATAAGGTTTGCTGATTTATTCCTTGAGAAAAACTGAAAACAGATGTGTTTGAAAATTAAATAAAAACATCTTACCCAGAAAAGCAATTTCATTTTATATTACCTAAAAATAGACATTATAATTATACTTAGTGTATTACATTTTATAAGCGACAAAGATCATCATTTATAATCACATTAAGAACGTCATCGTGCATTCAAAATAAGATTATAAATAAATATTGTATTATGAGGATAAGTAATGAGTTCCTGACATTATAAAACTATCTGTTAAGCCATGTATTTACTTAAACATATAAACATATAAAACATTAAGAAAGCAATTTCCTTATCATAAAACATGCTTCTGACTTTGGTTTGGTGTTACAAAGGGGGTGTTAACAGGGTTTTCTTGGAACCGAGTAAACTGTAGAAAACCTGTCAGATACGTAGGAAATGTTTAAACCGACAGTTATATAAATACATGTTAAACAGTCGGTCAAACAATATCACTTTACAATAAAAATGTTTGAATCCTTTATTACGAACAAAATACAGTTGATTATTTTTAAAGGATATTTCCAACAACAAACTAAATTATTTTTTTATCATGAAGAACAAATCAAAAAGTATATTTTTACTGAAACAACAACAACAAAAGGTAACATTTAAATAAAATGAATCAAACGTAGCATGAACATTTCATTTATGTATTTTATATTTTGTTTCAATCATAACGAATGAATTGCAATTACACTTACATATTGTCCGTAGTGCATAATACTCAAATAATCATAATTAGAGTCGAAATTTGCTTTTTTTTGTTTCTGAAAACTTTCTTCTCTTCCGGGTTCAATATTTTCATTGTGTATTTTAATGTAGTCATCCCTATCCCAACGGTTATGTTCATGGTAGAATCCCAAGGCATGTCCTATTTCATGAACAATTATCTCTGTCTGAAATGAATATTTTATTATCATAGAAATTTATCTTATAAGCACATGTGATACATTTATATTACTGAACATTAAACAATGTTCACTTCAAAAGTTTAGTTACATTTACAATAACATTACATTAATTAAGTAACATTTGAGGCCAGTTTTAACCAGTCACTCCCACAATTTTTTTTAATTTGTGACAGTGCTTTCTATTCATTCCAACAATTTTGTATGAAAATCAACATTAAATTTAAATCGAAAGTAATACGAGAAGTGTTCCTGGCTCTGCTTTGAACGCTTGTCAAGCCGGTACACAAACGGTGTACATGCTTCCGACTACACGAGCATACTATCGTCAGCTGTCTGCAAGCGCTCGTTTAAAAGACATTTAATTTGTAATAAAACTATGCATAGTTGTTGTTGCCCTCATTTCCTATCTTATATAATGTAAAATATAAATATTTTAATTGAGCGGTCAATTTGGGTCTCAAGAAAGTAACGATTTTGAAACGAGAATTATAGTATTAGGTCCCAGATCAAAAGGCAAAACAAGAGCGCAAACATATGCTTGGCTCAGGTCGTGTATTAGTTGGGCTGTTTACATTTTGGCGTCTGCAATCTTTACTTTATTGACTTGGTATACGGTATTTTGCATATATATAAAAGTTGTTTGAAATCCAGTTTTATCGTTGTAACAGATGTCCTATTGGTGTTTAAATATTACAATATTTCTAATAGAGTGTTTACAGTGGCGTATCACGTTAGGGGCAGGATCTGACCCCAAGCGTCTGTGACAATTGTTCCAAAAAGTTAATTTAATGGATAAGCATATAATTAACTTTCACGTATCAGTAATAGGCGATAAACAATAATGAGTAAAGTTTCCCTAGAATGTTGTGGAGATTTAAAGAAGAGATGTCACTGAAAGGTGACTTATGTCCACGAAAGGAAGCTTTGCCATAAATCCGCAAGATATGCCACAATACGGTAATATACGCCCAACCGCCTTTGATAAATATTATTCCTAAAATGTCATTGAAATTCCATTAAAAGTGTAGAAGAAATAGTCTCAACAATTTTTTCAAACACAATCATCATCACTAGCCCATAACTATGCGAAATTATTTCATTACCAAAATCATGGCACATTGCACAACTAGGCTTACAAAAATCATGGCTACATGCAAACAATTATATAAATGCTTACTGAATTTCCAAATTAGTTTTGGAGATGGAGGGTGGCAAAGTACTTCCGGTTATTCAAAAAGTAAAGGCGCAAATTTTGTTGATGTAAATTCATGGATTAAGTATATTTGTAACGTGGGATAGAACGATCAAGTGATAAAAAGCAATATTTGGATAAATATTTGGATAAGATAAAATGTGAAAGTGTTATATATCGGTGGGATTAAGATATAATTGTGATATTCAAAACAAGACGGTTACCCCACCCACACCATCAAACAATTGAACTATATTTGAGCCATCAAATGCCTGCAAAGACAACAAAGACAACAATCAAGAGGAAACGAAATAAATCTTCTCCAGATCAGAAAAACTCTCAAGTAAGTCAAGTAAGTCTAATTAAAAGACATAAACTCACGTTTCAATCAGACACAGACTCTGAATATCTTAAAAAGATTACATGATTTGTGTGCACAAAGGAAGATTTGGAAGAGGTAGTGGGCAAAATGTTCCAAAAACTAAAGGTAGAACTTGTCAATGAATTTAAAGGGAGCTTACAAACGATGTTGAGAAAATCGATGAATCTAAAACTAAATCTCTTCAAACAGAAATCCTAGAGTTGAGAGGTGAAATAGATCATATTCGTAAATGTGTCCGAACTGCCAATAGTTAAAATGATGATCTAGAACAATATAGGAGGAGAATGATGCTAACAGTATCAAATATTCCTGGTGATACAGGAAATTCTCAAGAGAATGTAGAAGAAAAGATACTGCAATATGCTAATAATAATCTGGAACTCAACCTAACAACAGATGACATTGACAGAGCGCACCGATTGGGCAAGCACAACAGTGACATGGAAAGAAACAGGCGGGTGATTGTAAAATTCACCAATTCAAAGGCACGCCAACAGGTCTTCGATGCTAGGAAAAAACCGGAAATGGCATCTTCGTACAAGAGTGCCTGACCAGAAAACGAGAAAGCATCGCTTATGAAGCCAGGAAACTTAAAAGGGAACACAAACTAGTAAATACATGGGTTGCAGGTGGTAACATTTATGGAATAATGTGTGTTAAAAACAAGGAGACAAAGATTATGATCAGAAGTATGGAAGCGATTCAACAAATCAGAGAAGGTATTCTACCAAAATAGCAAAAACCATCATATCCATAGACAATTACAAAGACAAACAAAGTAATAAAACATATATGGCATTTAAATGTCAAATAGTCAAACAGTCACGTTCTTGTTTGTTTACATTCTATTTATAGCGATACGGATTATAGCTATTTATAACTTATGCATTTTTAAATACCTGGTTTACCAATTGTAAAATTAGACAGTTATTCTAAAAATAGATTATTCGGCTACCTGTCACAGGTGAACAGTATGGTTTACAGTCCATGTTAATATTCTTTATATTTTTTCTTCTTTTTATACTCAAAAATTAAACAGATCCTTTTGAAAAGTCAGTTATCACTGTGCAAACATACTCATGATCAAACATGTATTGTACCTCATACATTTTAATAGGTAGATATGAAACAATTTTGAAGTTAATGTTATCGCGCGAGCGGATCTTGTGCAGTATTGTCATGATAAATACTATTCATGCACTTACTATAGACGTTTCCTTTCTTTTTTGATGATTCATATTAAAGTTTTTTTGTTTTTGTCTTAATTTCTTTCGTTTTTTTTTCAAATAAATATACTGTAAACTTTTTTTTTTTGAAAACATAATAGAAAAAGACAACAAGAAACTGCAATAACTGTTTATGTATGGCCTTACATCGATATGCTTGAACGAGCGAATAAGGCGTGATTTTTCAGCATGTACAGAGTTTTCTTCTTTTTTTTTCCTTTACATGTAAACAAGATATGTTTGTAAAACATGTATGCCCCCTATCAGCAGCCAATTAGTCATGTGATAAGGTTATTATGCATGACTTCTGACCCAGTGATCAAACAATTAATAAGGGTTATAAAGTATCTACTGGTCATGACCTTGACCTTTGACCCCTTGACCCAAAACTCAATAGGGGTCATCTGCTGGTCACGACCAATCATCAAACAAAGTTTGAAGTTCCTAGGCCTAGGCGTTTTTAGTAAATTGATTCAGAAACCGTTTTTACCTACAAGGTCAATGTGACCTTGACCATTGACCCCTTGACCCCAAAATCAATAGGGGTCATCTGCTGGTCATGACCAATCACCATGCCAAGTTTGAAGTTCTTAGGCCTAAGGGTTCTCTTATTATTGATCGGAACCGTTTTAACATACAAGGTCAATTGTGACCTTGACCTTTGACCCCAAAATCAATAGGGGTCATCTGCTGGTCATGACCAATCACCATGCCAAGTTTGAAGTTTCTAGGCCGAAGCGTTCTTTAGTTATTGATCAGAAACCGTTTTTACTTACAAGGTCATTGTGACCTTGACCGTTGACCCCTTGATCCCAAAATCAATAGGAGTAATCTGCTGGTCATGACAAATCACCATACCAAGTTTGAAGTTCCTAGGCCTAAGCGTTCTTGAATTATTGATCAGAAAACCGTTTTTACTTAAAAAGGTCAATGTGACCTTGACCTTTGACCCCTTCACCTAAAACTCAATAGGGGTCATCTGCTGGTCATGACCAATCATCACACAAAGTTTGAAGTTCCTAGGCCTAAGCGTTTTTAGTTAATTGATCGGAAACCGTTTTTACCTACAAGGTCAATGTGACCTTGACCTTTGACCCCTTGACCCCAAAATCAATAGGTCATCTGCTGGTCATGACCAATCACCATACCAAGTTTGAAGTTCCTAGGCATAAGGGTTCTTAAGTTATTGGTCGGAAAGCATTTTTACGTACAAGGTCAATGTGACTTGCCCTTTAACCCCTTAACCCCAAAATCAATAGGGGTCCATCTGCTGGTCATGACCAATCACCATACCAAGTTTGAAGTTCCTAGGCCTAAGGGTTTCTTTAGTTATTGATCGGAAACCATTTTTACCTAAGAGGTCAATGTGACCTTGACCTTTGACTTCTAGACCCCAAAAATCAATAGGGGTCATCTACTGATCATGACCAATCACCATCTCAAAGTTTGCAGTCCCTAGGCTAAGGGTTTCTTTCATTATTGATCGGAAAACCGTTTTTACCTACAAGGTCAATGTGACCTTGACCTTTGACCCTTAACGCCAAAATCAATAGGGGTCATCTGATTGGTCATAACCAATCACCATACCAAGTTTGAAGTTCCTAGGCCTAAGGGTTCTTTTGTTATTGATCAGAAACCGTTTTAATTAAAAGGTCAATGTGACCTTGACCTTTGACCCCTTGACCCCAAAATCTATACGGGTCATCTACTGATTATGACCAATCACCATACCAAGTTTGAAGTTCCTAGGCCTTAAGGTTCTTTAGTTTATTGATCGGAAACCGTTTTTACCTACAAGGTCAATGTGACCTTGACCTTTGACCCCTTGACCCCAAAATCAATAGGGGTCATCTACTGATCATGACCAATCACCATACCAAGTTTGAAGTTCCTAGGCCTAAGGGTTCTTTTGTTATTGATCAGAAACCGTTTTTTTTTAAAAGGTCAATGTGACCTTGACCTTTGACCCCTTGACCCCAAAATCTATACGGGTCATCTACTGATCATGACCAATCACCATACCAAGTTTGAAGTTCCTAGGCCTTAAGGTTCTTTAGTTATTGATCGGAAACCGTTTTTGCTTACAAGGTCAATGTGACCTTGACCTTTGACCCCTTGACCCAAAAAATCAATAGGGTCATCTACTGATCATGACCAATCACCATACCAAGTTTGAAGTTCCTAG